GTGTGTGTGTGTGTGCGTGTGTGTGTGTGTGTGTGTGTGTGTGTGTGTGTGTGCGTGCGCATTGTCCTGTCGTCATACACGTACACCCATCCTGATCCCAGGAGGGGCCTGGCCAGGACCGGATGTGCCGCTGGCGCCTCCCCCGTGGGGGGGGGATCGCCGCGGCGGGGCGACGGGGCGCGCGCTCCTCGCGGCCAGCACCCGCCGCGCTGTTCGCGAGAGTCGGCGGCGAGCGAGGGGGGAGGCGAGAAGGAGAGGGCCTGCTCGGAAGGCGGCGGGACTTCTCGGAAGCCCTCGCGCCTCCTGAGAGGTTTCTGGTGTGCCTTCGGGGGAGGCTGAGGAGACTGCTCAGAAGCGCCTTCTGAGAGGTCTTTGTGTGCCTTCGGGGAAGGCTCACAGAAGACTTCTCAGAAGGCCGGGGGACTTCCGAGCCTTCTGAGAGGGCCCGCCCCTTCGCGCTTCCCCCCCCGTCGCTCGCCGCCGAGAGAGGGCGCGCTGGGCGCGCCGGCCGGCGGGCCGGGCGGTCGCCGGTGCGGTGCGGCAGCAGCGGTGTGCGCGGCCGCGCTGGGCCCCCACGGGGCCGCCCAGGAAGTCCGCGCCAGCACAGAGCCCGGGCCTCCCCCGGTGGGGTCCGAGCAGATGGGGTCCGAGGGGTCGCTCCGCCCAGACCTCCTCGCGTCGTGAAAAAATCACGCTGGAGGTTTTGCGCTATTTTCGGCCTCTGGGGGCCATCACCGGCCCTCGGGACCGTCAAGAAACGACTCAGGATGCATAGCCGGTCCCGGGGAAGAGGTCGGGCCCTCTGGGGGTCGACGTCATGAAAAAATCATGACGTCGGGGGTCGCTCCGCATCGCCGATGCGGCTCGACGAGCCCGTTTTTCTCGACGCCGGCGTTGCCGATGCATCGCCGCGGTGCATCGCCGATGCATCGCCGATGCATCGCGATCCTTCGACGCCGTCCACTCCGACCCCATCTTGGAGGCCTCCAGGGACAGCTTGTTGCTCAGCCGGTTCTGGCCCACCACGCTTTGGCGCGGCACGCTATCCGTTTTCCAGTCCCCAAGCGTCAGCGGCATGAGCCTTTCCCAGCCCCCCGCCCCGCGGAGCGGAGCGACACGGTATCCGCTCCCAGGGCACAACGTGTCGCCGGGGCCGCCGCCGCGACACGCTATCCTAAAGTTCCCGACCGCAAGTTGAGGGGACAGTGCCCTTCTCCAGCTTATCAAGCCTCTCTTATGGTGTTCCAGCCTACTTGAAGCCTTGATCACCAGAAAGAATCTCGAGCACCAGAGAAGTATCGAAACTGTAGGGTTTTTGCGTGTCGGACCCTGCGAGGCGATACTCGTTCGACGCTGTTTCGATAGTTTTCCTGGGTGCTCGAAGTTCTTCCTGGGATGTGGTCCTTTTCTGGATGCTCTCTGGGTGCTCGAAATTATTTCTTATTTCTGGGTGCCCGAAGATCTTTCTTTCTGGGTGCTCGAAATCCTTTCTTCTTTCTGGGTGCTCGAATTGTTTTTCCGGATGGGAGCAACATAAAGCTTATCCCACGGATATATTTATATATGGTCCAGGGTTTGGGCCCCCCCCCCCCCCCCAATGCTGATGCCATTGGGCCCCCCCCCCCGCGCGATGGTCCCCCCCGCCCCCCCCTGTGGGCGTGGCGTGGTGCTGCGCTGCGGTTGCCCCCCCCCCCCCCTGTGGATGTGGTGTGGTGCTGTGGTGGTTCAGAGGTGGGCGTGGCGTGGTGCTGCGCTGCGGTGCCCCCCTCCCCCCCCTGTGGATGTGGTGTGGTGCTGTGGTGGTTCAGAGGTCGTCGTCGTCGTCGTCGTCGTCGTCGTCGTCGTCGTCGTCCTCGTCGTCCTCGTCGTCCTCGTCGTCGTCGTCGTCGTCGTCCTCGTCGTCGTCGTCGTCATCGTCGTCGTCGCCGTCGTCATCGTCGTCATCGTCGTCGTCGCCGCCGCCGCCAGCGTCGTCGCCGCCGCAGCCGTCGTTGTCGTCGTCGTGGTCGTCGTCGTCGTCGTCGCCGTCGTCGCCGTCGTCGCCGTCGTCGCAGCCGTCGTCGTCGTCGTCGTCGTCGTCGTCGTCGTCGTCGTCGTTGTCGTCGTCGTCGTCGTCTCTGGGACCATACCATCTGGGGGGGGGGGGGCCCGAGGAATCCTGGGTCCATACCATCTGGGGGGTGGGGGGGGGGCCCGTGGGCCCTCGACCCTGGATCATGTATATATATATATATATGTGTATATATATATATATATTAACACTACATAGCAAAGTACATAAGGAGGCTCAGGAGTATCCTCATATACTACAAGCCTGCGGATGCTTACCCTCGTTGCCAACAGAAAGCTTACCGTTGCTCCTCAGCAGTCGGCGTCACCCAGCCATGCCAGCACTGTGCGAGCGTCGCCCTCCCAGGGGGCATGCGCGCGCCCGCCGAGAGATCTCACAGCACGTGCGCCGTGGCGGGTGCTCTCTGAGAACGCGCCACCCGGCAAGCGTTGAGTCGGGCCTGTCCCTCTACATTCACACGAAGAGGAATAAGAATAATAATAATAAGAATAATATTAAGAAAAATAATACTAATAAGAAGAATAAAAATAAGAAGAAGAATAATAATAATAAGAATAATAATAATAATAAGAGTATGAATAATACTAATAAGAATAATAATAAGAATAATAATGCGACTAATCAGAATACTAAGAATAATAATAATGATAATAATAATAAGAAGAAATATAATAATAATACTAATAATAAGAAGACGGATAGTAAGAAAAAGAAGAGCAATAAGAAGAAGAGGAGGAGGAGGAGGAGGATGAGGAGGGGGAGGAGGAGGAGGAGGAGAGGGAGGAGGAGGAGGAGGAGGGAGGAGGGCGAGGAGGAGGAGGAGGAGGGGGAGGAGGAGAGGGAGGAGGGGAGGGAGGGGAGGAGGGGAGGGAGAGAGGAGGGAGGAGGAGGAGGAGGAGGAGGGAGGAGGAGGAGGAGGAGGAGAGGAGGAGGAGGAGGAGGAGGAGGAGGAGGAGGAGGAGGAGGAGGGGAGGAGGAGGAGGAGGGGAGAGGAGAGGAGGAGGAGGAGGAGGAGGAGGAGGAGGAGGAGGAGGAGGAGAGGAGGAGAGGAGGAGGAAGGAGGGAGGAGAAGGAGGAAGGAGGAAAGGGAGGAGGCATATCCAAACCTAGGTGAAGAAATAGGTCGGGCGGGGCCGGGTGCCTCGGGCCGCCCGCCCGCTCGAGAGCCTGCGGTCGGCAGGCCGCGGCGTCGCAGGAGCCGAAGTACGACTGGCAGCGGGCCGCGGAGAGCACGGCTGCGCAGCAAGGCCCCTTGGCGCTCGGAGCGAGCGAGGAGCGAGGAGCGATCGAGGAGCGAGGAGCGAGGAGCGAGGAGCGAGAGGGGGAGGAGGAGGAGGAGGAGAGGAGGAGAGGAGGAGGAGGAGGGGGAGGAGGCGGAGGAGGAGAGGAGGAGGAGGAGGAGGAGGAGGAGGAGGGAGGAGGAGGAGGAGGAGGAGGAGGAGGAGGAGGAGAGGCGGAGGAGGAGGCGGAGGAGGAGGAGGAGGAGGATGAGGAGGAGGATGAGGAGGAGGAGGGGGAGGGAGGGGGAGGAGGAGGAGGGGAGAGGAGGAGGAGGAGGAGGAGGAGGAGGAGGAGGAGGAGGGAGGAGGAGGAGGAGGAGGAGGAGGACTGAGGAGGAGGAGGAATGACGATGATGATGCTGCTGCTGATGATGATGATGATGATGATGATGATGGTGGTGGTGGTGATGATGATGGTGGTGGTGGTGATGATGATTATGATGATGCTGCTGATGATGACGATGATGATGCTGCTGCTGATGATGATGATGCTGATTTGTTGCAACATCAGCGAGTGGAGGCACGGCAGCACCCTCAATCTGATAGCCCTCGTTCAGCAGTTCAGCCATTTTTCCAAGAGAAGCAGGGCCCGTGCTGTTGAAGAACGTCCATCAATATCCAGTCGTGTAAGGCACACTGAATTTTTGGTTATTCTCTCTCTCTCTCTATATATATATATCTATTGAGAGAGAGCCCTTGAAGAGTGAATGGGCAATTAATTACCGTACTCCGCCACCACGCCACGAGAAACATCAACCCAATTGATGTGGCGTGCTATATTCTGTGTGTCCTGTGCACACATGTCGTTATCCCCCCAAATCCCCACCCAAGGAACAAGATAGTGTTGTACCCTTTGTATCTTTCAAACGCGGTGGCGTAGCCAGCGCCTTGAAGGCCCACGAGACGAAACTAGCATATTGCTCCGTGACGCTAGCCTGATCTTCCAGGCATGGTGGCGACGCAAGCGCCTGAAAGGCCCACGAAGTGAAAGTGGCATACTGCTCCGTGACAACTTCAAGCTGAGCAGCCGCCCGCTCAGCCAACTCTTCCACTGCCTTCGATTCCCTTCCAGGTCAGAGGAGGTGCACTCTGCTCTATCGAAGTCTCTGTCCATAATGCAGGGCGGCGCCCTATACAGCAGAAACTTGATATTCGTGCTAGCTGCCAATCACTGTCGGTCGTGTGTGCAGCGGGCGCGAGCTCGCCGACGGGAAGACGCTGATGTAGGAGCCGTCAGAGTAATGGTCGCACTCGGAGGCGGCACAATATCAGACTGAGGATTAAACTGAGCCACGCAAACACCTGGCACAATGACTCCCGCCCCCAGTAGCAAAGATGGCAGGCAGTCACGTTTTTCCTCACGTGATGCGCCTGACGTAGGAGAGGCAGTCCAAGAGATAAGTGCCATGCAACCGAGCAGAGCACACCGAAGATGTAAGTGGGCTGGGGGCGGTGTGCTTCCGTACCGGAAACGGGACCTGAGAGCCGCTGCCTAGGAGGAGGAGGTATAGGAGGAGCAGATGGAGGAGGAGGTGGAGGAGGAGGAGGAGGATCGAAGAACGCAACACGGCACAAGCGCAGACTTTGGGAGGCCCCGGGCGGATTCCTCGGAACGGCGCCAGGCCCCCAGAGGCGGCGAGGCGAGTCCAGCGCGCGGACCTTTGAAAATGTGTGCTTCTGTCGATCCTCGTTCCTCCAGTCGTTAAGGGCTTGACGCTTTCTAGCCAGTCGACCTGTGGGGGTCGAGCCAGATCAATCCAGGCAAACGCAGATCAATCCAGATGAATGCAGACACATCGAGGTACACCCAGGTAAATCCGGGCAAGTCCAGGTCAATCCAGAGATCTTCGGGGGCAGCTGGAGCAAGCTGCGGCCGCTCCAGCGCGGGTCGAAGGACGGCGGAAGTCGTCAAGCCTTTCACGATCCTATCCAGACGCGGGGGCCGCTTCCCTCGAAAGGCTGCTGAGAGAGGAGGGAGGAGGGAGGAGAGAGGGAGGAGGGGGGGGGGCGTGCAGGCGACCTGAGAGAGGAGGGAGGAGGGAGGAGGGAGGAGGGTGGAGGAGGAGGAGGAGGAGGAGGAGGAGGAGGAGGAGGAGGAGGAGGAGGAGGAGGAGGAGGAAGAGGCGGAGGAGGAGGAGGAGGAGGAGGGGGAGGGGGAGGAGGGGGAGAAGGTCTGGGGGAGGCTCGAAGGGAGGCTGGAGGCCGGAGTTTTCTCGCCACCATGGGCCTCCAGGAAGTGCCGTGCGACCTGCGGCCACGGCCGGGACGACGACGACGACGACGACGGCGACGGTGGCGACGGCGGCGGCGGCGGCGTCGCCGGCGATGGCGACCCACAACGATAACGGCAACGTTGATGGCGACGGCGACGGCGACGGCGACGGCGACGGCGACGGCGACGGCGACTGCGACGGCGACGGCGACGACGGCAATGACGGTGACGACGACGACGTCGACGACGACGACGACAATGACGCCGACGACGACGACGACGACGACGACGACGATGACGACGACGACGACGACGACGACGACGACGACGGCGACGACGACGACGACGACGACGGGGCTCTCTTTTGCGGTCTTGGGCGCTTCTTGGGCCGCTTAGGGGCCCTCTTGGACCGTCTTGGGGGGGTCTTGGGGGGCTCTTGGACCGTCTTGGGGCGGTCTTGGTGGCCCCAGACCATCTTGGAGCGTCGGAAGTCCGAAAACGCGAGAACGCGAAAAGCATAGATAGCGCACACGAACAATCAATGAACTTTGTTTCTTTGGGCCCGCTTGGGGTTCTTCTTGGAGCGCTCTCGGGGCTTCTTTGGGGCCTCTTGGGCCGTCTTGGGGCCGTTTTGGGCGTCTTGCAGAGATCTTGGGCCATCTTGGAGGCCTCTTTAGGTCTCATGGGCGCTTCTTGGGCCCCTCTGTGCCTGTCTTGGGCCCCCTGGCCATTGGAAAAGTCACGCGAGGCAGCCCAGGAGTACGCGGGAGAGCCCAGGAAGTTCGAGAATCTGGGGCCCCAGCACCTGGAATACTAGAACCCCCCAGTCCTGAGTGCAGAGAGCAGGGAACACATGAGAGCCCTGGGGTAACTCCACTTCGTGCCTCGAGGCACGGTGGCGTGTATATATATATATATATGTATGCTGGAGGCTTCCATGAGTTGCCACCGAAGACTAGCATTAAGTCGGGCCTGTCCCTCTACAGGAGGGATATAACAATTAGTCAACAGATCGTCGGGGAACGTTTTTTTGTTTGACTATTTTTGACTCTTGGTTAGGTACTTCTACTTTTCGTCCAAAATCCGCCTGTACAGTCAAAACACCTAATGAGGACGCGCGACTTTACTCAGGGCACCCTTGCGTCCTTGCTCTTCCTTGCTCTTGCGTCCTTGGGGTTTTCGTCGTCCGCCGCCCCAAAAATCCCAACTGCGGCTTCCAAGGGTCTTGCGTCCTTACCGCGCGTCCTTATTAGGGTTTTTGACTGCAGGGGGACACGCCCGACCTAAGACTGGCAGCATTCGCAGCACCGGCATGAGCTGCGGAGGTCTGGGCGGGCCCCTCGCGGATCGGTGCTGGACCCCCCAGGGGGGGTGAGCTTCGCGCGCCGGGGGAGCAGGGAGGGGGGCAGCGCACAGCACAGCACAGAGTGGGTGCCTCGATGCTTATGGTGATCATCGTAGAGGTAAGCATGGAATCCACAGCGACACGGCGATAAAAAAACGATAACGCAATACAGAGCCCCACCAGACGCTAAGACGATGAGACGATACAGTTGTGATATTGTTTCATCATCTTCCGGTCTGGTGTGGCCCTGCATCGTCTTATCGTCTTATCGTCTGGTGAGGCCTTATATCGTCTTATCGTCTTATCGTCTTAGGTTGCTGCCCTTGTATCGTCTTATCGTTTTATAATATTATCGTATTTTGTCGCCTTATCGTCTTACCATCTTATCGTCTGCGTGAGGTTTAGACCGCTGATCCCCACCACACTATATATAGATATTGACAGCCTAGGTCTTGTGCATCCTGGCAGACGGCACGGTTCGTAGAGTCAATCTAGTATTTGCTGGCCATTTGCTTATTCGGGCTTGTGGCCGCAGCGTTAGCTCCCGAGACACATTCCCTCTGGAAGACTGGATCGAATGTTCGTGCGTGCGTGCGTTTGTGATTGCCAGCGTGCATGTGTGCGTGTGTCCGTAGTTGACCGACAGGTGCTGCCTCATCGGGGAGAAGGAAAAGTATGTCTCCGCAGCCTTGCGGCTCAAGAAGAGTGCGGCTCGACTCGCGGAGGCCGGTCGGGTCGGGCCATGCTGTCGTCGTTCACCGAGACGTCGCAGATGCTGCAGAAGGAGTTGATGAACGACTACAGCTACCAGGTGTTCTGTTGCATTTTCGGGGGACCTCGCCTGTCCCAAACATTGGTGTCTTTTTGGGGGCCCGACGCGTGCTCGATGCGGACTCGACGCGGATTTGGCGTGGATTCGACGCGGATTCGACACGGATTCGACACGGATCCGACGCGTCCGACATGGATTCGACACGGATTCGACGCGGACAGGGCCGCGACGGGACAGACAAGGTCCCCCGAGGATGCAACATAACAGGTGGATGGCATCCAGGGGATGGAGTCCCAATACGAATTCAACCACGTCACGCAGCAGCCTCCCCCCAGCTCCTACATGCAGCGCACGGCCCAGGGCGCCGGCCCCACGGCGAGGATGTCCGCCGTGCCCCAGAGCCGGGGGGGCTTCGGCGGCCGCGGGGGCACGGAGACCGCGCGGCCGATGACGTCGAACCGCGCGGCGGGCTACACTGCGGCCAACAAGGCCGGCAAGGTGTTCGACCCGATGGGCCAGGGCGACAAGGGCCCCGCGAAGCCTCTGGAGAAGAAGGCCGAGCTCTCTCCGGAGGAGAAGCTGCGGGAGATGGAGAAGGAGATCCACCGGCTCGTGGAGGAGAGCGCCGTGACCCGGGAGCAGGGCAACTGCCGCGAGGCGCTCGAGAAGGGCAAGGAGGCGGGCAAGAAGGAGCGTCAGCTCTGCAGGTTGCGGGAGCAGCACAACCTCCTCGACCAGTTGAACGTGGACTTGACCTACGCTGTGTGCCTCAACCTTGCCATCCAGCACCAGGCCAACGACAACGACAACGAGGCCTTGGAGATCTACACGCAGATCGTGAAGAACAAGCAGTACCCTTTCAGCGGCCGCTTCCGTGTCAACATGGGGAACATCTACTTCAAGCAGGGGAAATGGACGGCTGCGATCAAAATGTACCGCATGGCCTTGGACCAAATCCCCAATAACGTGCAGGCCATCCGGTTCAAGATCATGCGCAACATTGGGCATGCGTTCTTTAAGATGCATCAGTTCCCCGATGCCATCGATTCGTACGAAAACCTCCTGATGCACGGTGCCCAGCACCTGGACTTCAAGACGGGCTTCAACCTGATACTGTGCTACTTCGCCCTGATGCCGCCACCTGGCGAGAAGGACCGCGATCGCGAGAGGGAGAAGCAGTCGGAGAAGATGAAGAGCGGCTTCCTGAAGCTGCTCAACATCGAGCAGGTCGGCCTGGAGGACATGGACGAGGAGGAGCTGGAGCTGGGCGAGTCGGCCTCGGGCACGGACGGCAGGAAGAACCAGCTCGTGGAGGGGGACGACGCGCTGCGCGAGGACGTGAAGGGCCGCCAGCGGGAAGCCGCCCGCTTCATCGTGAACGCGGCCAACCTGATAGCCCCCGTCATAGAGAGCACGCCGGTGATCGGGTACGACTGGGTGGTGGACCAGCTGAACCACCACGGCTTCCCACGGATCGGCTCGGAGCTCGAGATCGCGAAGGCGAACCACTTCCTGCGCCGCAAGGAGTTCGACTCCGCCATCGCGATGCTGAAGAAGTTCGAGCGCAAGGAGCCGTCCCTGATGGCCTGCGCGGCCACGAACCTGTCCTTCCTGTATTTCCTCGAGGCCGAGCACGCGAGCGCGGAGAAGTACGCCGACATGGCCGTGAAGGCCGACCGCTACAACGCACGCGCTCTCGTAAACAAGGGGAACTGCATGTTCATCCACGAGGACTTCGAGCGCGCCAAGGAAGTCTACCTGGAGGCCATCGGCGTCAGCGCGGACTGCCTCGAGGCCATCTACAACCTCGGCTTGGTCAACATGCACATCGGGAGGTACCAGGAGGCGCTGCTCGCGTTCGACAAGCTCCACTCGATCACTCACGTGAACTGCGAGGTGATGTGGCAGCTGGGCGACATCCACGAGAAGCTGGGAAACACAGGGAGGGCTCACGAGTGGTTCTCCCTGCTCGTCACCTCGCCAAAGGGCCGGCCGACGGATCCGGGTGTGCTCGCACGGCTGGCAAACCTCTTCAACAAGGCCGGTGATGAAACCCAGGCCTTCCACTATCATCTCGAGTCCTATAGGTTTTGGCCAGTGGACATGAACGTGATCACATGGCTGGGGATTTATCCCAGATGCTAGCGCAACTCAGCCGACCCCCGCAGGAGAGAGCGAATCGCAATGACGTCCTATGTTGTTCGGGCGCGGAGCGCAAAGTTGAGGAAGACGAGGAGCAGAACGAGGAGTTCGAGTAGTAGAAGTGGTAGAAGCAGTGGTTGGTGGCTGTTGGTGGTGGTGGTAATTGCCCTGGTGGGAGGAACAGTCGTAGCATCGTTGTCGAACACGCCTGTGGCGAATGCCTTTGGAAACGCCCGTGTCGTGAAATGGACGACGCAAAAAACGGGATCGTCTGCGCCGACGTTGGCGCGCAGGCTGCCCGCGCCAGGTCGCGCGTACGCGCCCTCGTCTCCAGTGCGGCGTGCCGCGCTGGCGGCCCGCGCAAGCCAGCGCGCAAGGTCCCCTGTGCCATCTTGCGTAAGACCCGTGGTGGATCGTCGCCCGAGTGTCGAGCGAGTGTGCTCGGCTCCCGTCGGCTCCCCGGAGGCAGTGGACAGGAACGAGGGCTTGGATTTTGCACGTGCGCCTCCGTCGAGTGCTGAACATTTTATGGCAGGGCGGTCGCTCCAGGCGCGCCAGACTTCTCCGGGGCCTTGGCGCTCCTCGGGCTCACGGAAGCCGAGGCTCTCCTCGGCTCCTCGGCGTCGTCGTCGTCGTCGTCGTCGTCGTCGTCGTCGTCGTCGTGGCCGTCGCCCGTTTTTGATCGTCGCCCAGATCAGCGGACTGCGTGGTGTTCGCCTAGCGCTTCGGGAAATCGCCGGGGGAACTGCGGGGGCTGCGAAGGGGCCCTCTGCGGCTCTCTCTCTTGGCCCGTCGGGGGGGGCTGCGTCCTCGGGCTGCTTGGCGCTTGCGGAGGCCGTCTTGGGGGCCCAAGTGTCGAGTAGGGGATCGACGACAAAATTGACCTACCCCAAACTTGATTTTCTCGTCGAATATATAACACAATATGTATACGGTTCGTATATGATACCGGAGAAGAGCCCCAATCAAAGTCTTTTTTAGGGCTATAGGGCTATGGGGCTAGTGGGCTATAGGGCGATAAGGCTATGGGGCTATAGGGCTATGGGGCTATAGGGCTATAGGGCCATAGGGCTATAGGTCTATAGGGCCATAGGGCTTTGGGGCTATAGGGCCATTGGGCTATAGGGCTGTAGGGCTATGGGGCTATGGGGCTATTGGGCTCTGGGGCTATGGGGCTGTAGGGCTATAGGGCCACAGGGCTATGATTATATAGGGCTATGGGGCTATAGGGCTGTAGCACCATAGGGCTATAGGGCTATAGGGATAGAGGGCTATGGGGCTATAGGGCTATAGGTCTGTAGGCATCTGTAGAGCTATAGGGCAATAGGGCTATATGGGTATTGGGCTATTGGGCTATACGTAGGGCTGTAGAGCCATAGGGCTATGGGGCTATAGGACTATTGGGCTGTAGGGCTATAGGGCCATAGGGCTATAGGGCCATAGTGCTACAGGGCTATAGGGCTATAGGGCTATAGGGCTATAGGGCTATCAGGCACTGGGCACCCGGGCACCCGGGCACCCGGGGGGGCCGCAGAAATCGGTGGCAAGCCTCACCTAACCAGATGAATCCGCTAGGACCCTTACAGAGGCAAGCTTTGCTTGGGGAAAGCGGGGGAGAGGGTATGAGGGCGAGGGAGTGAATGAGCCAATGCAGTGCATGAGCCTTGACTACTTAAGCTTCTATATGGGTCTCGCAGACGAATGAGCAACAATCGCGCAAACCTGAGAAAAGCAAAAACGACTCCTGGGCCAGGTGGGTGTTCGGTGGGGTTATAGCTTTGATGCGCGTGTGCCCAAACGCTTGGGGGCTTTCGGGGGCCCTGCTCGGCGGCGAGCCCGGGGGGGAAACCAGAGGCGGCGGGCCTTCTCAGAAGGCGGCGGTGCTTCTCAGAAGCCCTCGCGCCCTCTGAGAAGTTTTCTGGGCCTTCTCCGAAGACAGAGAGAGGAGGAGGAGGAGGAGGGAGGAGGGAGGAGGGAGGAGGGAGGAGGGAGAGAGAGGAGGAGGGAGGAGGGAGGAGGGAGGAGGGAGGAGAGGCAGGAGGAGGAGAGGAGGTGGGAGGAGGAGGAGGAGAAGGAGGAGGGAGGAGGAGGAGGGGCTTTTGAGAAGCTTTGTCGCACTTTGAGAAGGCCCGCGGGGGGGCTCGACGCCGACTCTTCTTGTGGCATCCCTGGGGCCCTCTTCGGGCTCTCTTGGGCTTTCTCGTGGTCGTCTTGTGGTCCTCTGTTGTCGGGCGACGAAGTCTATACATATCCACTGCTCCCTGGCCAGGCCCATCCTGAACCCAGGAGCTGTGCATACGCCCTCCTGGCCAAACCAGGAGGGCGTGGCGTATACACAGCTGCTGTGTTCAGGATGGGCCTGGCCAGGGAGCAGTGGATATGTATAGATTGCGTCGCCCTACTGTTGAGGTCCGTCGAGCTCTTCTCCGGGTTCGCCTCGGGCACTTTTCGGGTCCCGTGGCCTCTGTGGGAACATCCCGGGAGCCTCTGTTTTGTTTTTCGGGCTCTTTTGAGACCTTCTTGGGGACGGTTGGGGCCATGTTGAGCCCTCCTCGATTTTCCTCTTACGTCACTCTGGGGCCAACTCTCGCTTCTGAGGCCCATCCGAGAAAACGAAGGCGGGAACACCACAATCATTTGGCTCTCCTGTCATTTTGGCATCTGAAAGGCCTCCTTGGGAGGGTCGGGGCCACCTTGGAGCCATCTTGTGACACTCTCGGGCTTCTTGAAGTCATCCTGAGCAGTCTTGTGTTTTTTGGGGGGATCCTGTCTTGGGAGATCCTTGCAATTCTTGGGCAGCCTTGGAGCCAATCTCGGAGGCGTCCAGTGGCATGGGTGTAGGGCTGGTAATCTCGCAGGCCCCCCCCTTCCCCATGGTCTCACGGGACTGCGGGCCAGGGAAAAGGGGGAAAACAACGGGGGGGGGAGGGCCAAGCCAGGTGTGCTCGCGCCACATCTGACACCCGACCCCCCCCACCCATCCCTACTGGTGGCGTTTTTTTTTGTTTTTGTTTTTGTTGTTCTCTGTCTCTCTCTCTCTCTATATATATACACATATATCCGCCGATGGGTGTCGTAGCAGACCTGGAATCCCCATCGGGACCCCACCGCACGATGCGCTTTGAGAAAGCGGGAGCTGCGAACATTGGAGGAGGAGGTGGCGGACGAGCAGGAGGATGAGCAGCAGGGGGAAGAGAAGCAGAGAGGGGATGGCCAATCATCTCTCGCACACCTTGTCACCTCTGGGCGGGCGGGGGCCGGCGGACTACGTGAAGCAGGACATGTACGAGGCGGCCATCCCCTTCTTCAGCCGCGCTTCGCAGATCGAGCCTGCCGAGGTGAAGTGGAGGCTCATGGTGGCGTCCTGCTACCGGCGGATGGGCGCCTCCGCCATGGCCCTGAAGCTCTACGAGGAGATCCACCACGCGCACCCCAATGACATAGAGTGCGTGAGGTACCTTATCACGATCTGCAAGGAGATGGATGGGGTTAGGGTTTGCAGTCAACCCGCATAGTAAGGATGAGCCACTCTCCAAGGCTACCCTTGCATCCCTCCTCTTCGGCCCATCCTTGACCGCTCTCGCTGGCCGCGCCCCGCTCGCAGAGTGTCGACGTGGCCTTCCAGGGCCCTTGCATCCTCACCGTGCGTCCCTGCTATACGGGTGAACTGTAAAGCAGCCAACGCGTGCGACAGTCGCTTCTAGCAGCCACGCTGCCTCCTCCTCGTCCGCGTCCTCCCTCGCCCCCTCCTTCCTCCTCTCGGCGGCGAGCGAGGGGGGGAGCGAGAAGGAGAAGGCCCTCTCAGGAGGCGGCGAGACCTCTCAGAAGCCTCCCGCGCCTTCTGAGAGGTTGGCCGTGTCTTCGGGGAAGGCTTAGACAACTTCTCAGAAGGCCGGGGGACTTCCGAACCTTTGAGAACCCAGACCCCCGACGTCATGGCGATTTTTTCATGGTCCGACCCCCAGAGGTCTGAACCCTTTCCCCGGGACTGGTTGTTCATTTTGAATCGTTTTTTGACGGTCCCGAGGCCCAGTAACGCCCCCAGAAGCCGAAATTAGCGAAACACCAGCCGTCGTGTTTTTTTTCACACCGCGAGGGGGTCTGGGAAGGCCTTCTCTTTCCCACTTCCCCCCCCCCGCTCGCAGCCGATCCTCGATGCTGGAGCCGCTGCACTTTTCGTGGCCGTGCGAGGTTGGTTTCGCATTGCTGGCGGATGCGCGAGGAGTTGCTCTGGAATGGCGTTTCGTCGTCAAACTTCGGGGGAGTTCCAGCGCCGATCCAAGACATCCTCGCGGACCTCCTAGCATGTAAGTTGGTGCAGTGTTGTTGCCTCTGAAGGAGATGAAGCAGAAGTACGACCACTACGCCGCCCACCTGCGCAAGCTGGAGCGCATGCAGGAGCAGGGCGCTGGCGGCGGCGGCGGCATGCAGCAGGAGGACGACGACGACGCGGTCGGAGGTCGTGTACCTCGTCCTGGCAGCTTCGACCCGGGGGACGAGGACCCGGCCACGCGCAAGGTTTGCGACCACATGCGAGCCTTACCCCTGGCGGCTCCAGTCGTCGCTGGGGCATCCTGACCCCAGCCAGTTTTCCAGAACTCTGCTCTCCAGGGGTAGGGGGCTCACGTGTGGTTGCCCGCAACCAGAATGGTCCTTCGCCTGCGCGGCCTCGGGGGCCCACGGGGGCCCCTCCCCCTTGCACCGGCGTGCGTGCCTGGGGTTATATCCGTGCCTCAGAGACACGTGGCCAGAGCGGATGGGGTCGGAAGACTGCGCCGCATCGCCGAGGCATCGGCGCCGCGGCGCGGTCCGGAGCCCGATTCTGCTCCGTCCCGACGTCGCCGGCGCCTCGGCGATGTGTCGGCGATGAGTCGGCGATGCGTCGGCGACGCCCTGGCGACGGGGTGCCCGTCCTCCGGGCCCATCTGCTCGGGTCTCGCGTGGGGTGCTGCCACAGGTGCGTCCCTGGCCCAGGATGCCTTCGGAGACGTCCCGGTGTCCTCCTCCTCCTCCTCCTCCTCCTCCTCCTCCTCCTCTTCCTCCTCCTCCTCCTCTTACGCCCCCGCGAGGGCCAGAGGGGTCCAGAGGCTCCAGCGTGGAGCCAGGAAGCCGGGCACGCCCTGGCCCTCGGGCGCTTTTCGTAGCAGCCCGCGACCGTCACAGCGATGCAGAGCAACGGGGTCGTCTTCGCCCACGTTGGGGCGTGAGCTGCCCGCGCAAGGTCGCGCGTAGAAGCGCCCTCGTTTCCAAGAAAGCGTGCCGCGCTGGCGGCCCGCGTAAGCCGTCGGGTACGGTCTCTTTGTCATCTCGCTGCAAGACCCTTTTCTTCTTGTCGAGGAGGAGGAGGAGGAGGAGGAGGAGGAGGAGGAGAGGAGGAGGAGGGAGGAGCAGGAGAGCAGGAGGAGCAGGAGAGGAGGAGCAGAGGAGGAGCAGGAGGAGGCGGAGGCGGAGGAGGAGGAGGAGGAGGAGCAGGAGGAGGAGGAGGAGGCAGGAGGAGGAGAGAGGAGGAGGAGAGGAGGAGGAGGAGGAGGAGGAGACGAACGACGACGACGACGACGACGACGACGACGACGCCGAGAGGTGCCGGGGCCGGCGGCCCCCCCTTGGGGGGCCCGCCGCGCCAGCGAGAGGCCGCTCCTGCCTGGTGGGGCGGGGGGCGCGTCTCGTCGTCGTCGTCGCCGCCGCCGCCGTCCGTCCGTCGTCGTCGTCGTCGTCTCGTCGTCGTCGTCGTCGTCGTCCGTCGTCGTCCGTCGTCGTCGTCGTCGGCGTCGTCGTCGTCGTCGTCGGCGTCGTCGTCGTCGTCGTCGTTTTCTTCCTCACTTCCTCTCCCTCCTCCTCCTCCGTCCTCCTCCTCCTTCCTCCTTCCTCCTTCTCCTCTTCCTCCTCCACCTTCCTGCCTCCCTCCTCCTCCTCCTCCTCCTCCTCCTCCTCCTCCTCCTCCTCCTCTCCTCCTCCTCCTCTCCTCCTCCTCCTCCTCCTCCTCCTCCTCCTCCCCTCCCCCTCCTCCCCTCCCTCCTCCTCCTCCCCTCCTCCTCCTCCTCCTCCTCCTCCCTCCCCTCCTCCTCCTCCTCCTCCTCCTCCTCCTGCTCCTCCTCGGGGGGTGCCGCCCAGCCAGCCTCTCGAGGGGGAGGCCAACCGTGGCGAAGCGAGAGAGCTCGCCGGGACGAGCGGCGGTACCCCCAGCCCCCCTCGCGCTGTGAACAAAAGTCACGACGGGCGGTTTTTCGCTGTTCTCGGCCCCCCAGGGGGGGCCGCGAGGGGCAGGCTTTCGAGGAGCAGAAAAAAAGGGTCTTGCGCGAGATGGCTTAGCGACCTTCCCAGACCCCCTCGCGCTGCGAACAAAAAACAGCACGACGGGAGGTTTTTTCGTCCTTTTCGGCCTCCGGGGGCCCTTCCCGGGCCTCGGGGCCGTCCACAAAACGGCTCGGGAGGCAAAGCCCGTCCCGAGGAAGGGGTCCGGAGCTCTCTGGGGGTCGCGTCATGCAGAAAAAATTATGACGTCGGGGGTCCGGGCTCTCGGTATAGCTCTGCCTCCCGGCCCAGGGCCGCCTCCGCGCGCGGCGGGAGCGTCACCACCCACCAAACCACCCCAACCCAACCCGAAGGCTCAGATTTACCCTCGATTTCTAGTGGGGGGGGGGTCTGGGAACATCGAAAAAACACATATGGAGACCATACCCCCCCCAACCCGAAATTCGGGTCTTCGGGTTGGGTTGGGGTGGTCTGGTAGGTAGTCAGAGCGGGGAGAGGACGACGAGATGGACCCCGCGCCGCGCACCGTGGAGCTCTACCAGGCGGAGGAGCCCGCGATGCCCGCGCGGGCCGCCCCGAAGAGGCGGCTCGCCGCCGCCAAGCGCGACGAGGAGGAGGACGTCCGTGGCAAAGGGGCCTGTGCGCAGCCGCCCGGCCCAGGAGGAGGAGGAGGAGGAGGAGGAGGAGGAGGAGGAGGAGGAGGAGGAGGAGGAGGAGGAGGAGGAGGAGGAGGAGGAGGAGGAGGACGTCCGTGGCCAGGGCCTGTCCGCAGCCGCCCGGCCCCGGGTCGCAGGCCTAGAGGTTGGCACCACCACCAAGATCGGCGGTGTGCCTCCACCGAGGGAGGACGATCCCGATCTCGGTGATATGGTGGCAATCTTCTGGCTTCCCAGGTGACCGAAGTAGTACCACCAACGCCGAGATCTGGGATCATGCTCCCCATGTGGAGGCCCCCCCCCCTGTGCTGGTGTTGGTGCCAATGTCCAGGCCTCTAACAGGGTGGTCGATCTTCGGGGGCCTTTCCCCGTCATGGGGCAGCGTTTTGGGGGGGTGGGATGGGCTCAACGGGGGGGCGCCTCGGCCCCCGATCGCCCGGTGATGGCCGAGAGGGGCGCGACGGCCCGATCCGCCCCCAGGAGCGTGCGGCTGAGCCACCGAGGGCTTGTCGCTGATCTATCGGCGATGTACTCGCGGTTCCAGGTCCACATTCCCCCCTCCCCCCCCGAGCCGGTTCCCCAGTATCGTTGCCCCTCCTGCCTTCAGAGGGGGAGCAGATGCCGATGCCACTGCAATTCCCTCGGCGCCAGGGCTGGATTCGCCTTGAACTTCTGGTCAGAAGGCACCCTGGGTGGTGGGAGGGGGAGGGGAGTAGCGGACTCGGCATGCTTTTGTTACCCCTCAGACCTCTGCAGGCGGTGGAGGTGGATACCTTCGGGCTCCTGGGGGGGTGGCAAGACATGTCCATGTCCGCCTCCCGCCGAGGCCCGCGAAGTTCGTTCGGACCCCCCCAGGCGGTGGTTAATTATTCGGCGGCGAGCCCGGGGGGAGGCGGGAAGGGGCGGGCCTTCTCAGAAGGCTCGGAAGTTTTCTGACCTCCTGAGAAGTTTTCTAAGCCTTCCCGGAAGACACGACCAACCTCTCAGAAGGCGCGAGGGCTTCCGAGAGGTCCCGCCGCCTCCTGAGACGGCCTTCTCCTTCTCACTTCCCCCCTCGCACGCCGCCGAGTTATTCTAGGCTTCCTAGATGGGGTCAGAGTAGATGGAGTCGGGGGATCGTGTCGCATCGCCGATGCCTCGGCGATGCGGCTCGATGTGGAGCCCAATCTTCTCCACGCCGACGTCACCGATGCATCGCCGGCGTCGCGGTTGCGTCGCCCATGCGTCGCCGATGCATCGCCGATGCGGCTCGATCCTCCGACCCCATCTACTCCGACCCCACCTAGAAGGCCTCTGGTGATGGGCCCGTTTTCCACCACCACCACCACCACCGCAAGTTGGAGGAGGAGGAGGAGGAGGAGGAGGAGGAGGAGGAGGAGGAGGAGGAGGAGGAGGGGGAGGAGGAGGAGGAGGAGGAGGAGGAGGAGGAGGAGGAGAGGAGGAGGAGGAGAGAGGAGGAGGAGGAGGAGGAGGAGGAGGAGGAGGAGGAGGAGGAGGGCCCCCCCTCCCTCCAACTTGTGGTGGTGGCGGT